GGGAGCGCGGCTGCTGCGGGGCGGCCCCGAGGGTGGCGAGAAGGGGAGACAGCCTGCGGTAGCCCTCCGGGTCACCGAGGGCCGGTTGGGTGCCCAGCGAGGTGGGGGAGGCGGGCCTGCGGCTGGCGGTCACCGGTTCGTATAAGCGATGCCTACTTGTCTCTGGATGTGAAGCACTGCTATCGTGGGATTAGATTCTACTAAATCTAATGTGGAATTTCATTTTAGCAGTAGCTCTAGCAAAATAAGCACAACTCCCTGAAAAGGTAGTCGCATTTGTCGTCATTCATACCGAAACTTCACACTAAACACAATAAACGCCTGTTTGTGAGATCCTGTAACAGTCGTTGCGCTGTTAATTAATGTTATGGTGGTTCGGGGAGCAGCAGCACATATCGGCGCGTTGAACACCGGAGGTGTAAAACCAGTGTTCCCCAGCAACTCGGCCATTCAGAGAGAGAATTTATTCTGGAAATAGGTTGTCAACCTGCTCCCCCCGGGTGAATTGCCCGAACCGAGGGCGCCATCCTGTGTCGGCCAGCGGGGAGGGAGCGCGGTCACGGGCGGGGCGGGCGGCGAGCGCCCGGGGCGCGCAGAGAGCCACCTCCTCTCTGCCTCCCTCTTCATCGTATGCCTGCGTGGGTAATTGCTGCTTTGGTGGGTATGTCTACGTGATTAAAAAAAGGTATTTCTATTGTTGAGATTAGTATTTTTGTTCATATTCCAAAGTTCCTGCTTCTGCAGCAAATTAATAGGTAAGGTGATCAGATGGATAAACCACTCACCTAGCAAGGTGGCAGATGCAGCCAGGTGTACCTTAGCTGCGTCATCTGTCACCACAGACAGGTGTTGTGACAGGTTCTGCTCAACCTTTTCTGCAAACTCAGTGGTATACATGGAGAACTGGGAGAGCCTATCCTTTTGAGAGGACAGATTGTGGAGAGTTTTTTTCCCCATTCTGCATCAGGACCAAAAATAACCTTTTGAACCAACAGGCACACAGCCAATTGCCTCATCCTTATGGTATCCTCATGGGATTTGGTAGACCTGCCTTCAAATCAGACCCTGCCTGAGTCAGACTCGGGAATGCTCACGTTGTCTGTCTGACGGCTAGGCTGGGCACTATTCTGGTGTGGAAGACTGGCCTTTCCGTGGCTGGAGCTGCTCCACTGCGTATAACTGATTAAATACTCATCAAGCTAAAACGAAAGACAGCTTATCACTGTCTGATTAGGGCCCTCACATGGGTTCAGCTCCCTGCTCTAAATCAAGCAAAGCAAAGATATACAAGCTCTGCAAAACCCAGCTGCTTGTTCAGACCAACAAGTTATTTATTCCCAGTCCCAGACAACTACATTTTCTTGCCTACACCCGCTGCTGGCACTGAGAAAATGTTTCCAATAGCAATTTTGTCAAAACTGGTATATTACCAGGAAAAGCTTTGGCTCTAGTTAAAAAATTCCTGACTATCTGTGATTAGAATTTGACAGAATTCCCAATACAGTTTGTCTTACCTGTTTTGCTTTATTGCATCAAGTCAGTTTTCAGAATGAACGTCCTTCAGATAAAAATAGTGAGCTTATTTGACAAATTTTATTTTTGTTTCATCAGCCAAAACTATCTACATACATTTTTTTATGATCTGCCACATTTTAGAAAAGAAACTTGCACAGAAAGTAGCATGCAGATTCTTAGCATAAGTTTTTCTTTGCTGCAAGTAGAAGTCTTCGTATCAGGGATAGGAATTCTACTGTGAATTCCAATAATATGTATAAACCATTTGGGCAACTGTGTCTCAGAAGCTCTGGACAGGCTTACACATTTATTGAACACAGAACGTACTACTCCATGTCTTAACCAGTTTGTTAGTCTTTGCTGACCATGGAAGTAGCTAACTAAAGCATTCTTTACTTTAAGCCTTTGAATCCTTTAGTATGTCAGTCAATAACTGATAAGGTTGACAAGCACACTTTTTTGTTTAAATAAATATGTATGTTAAACTTCAATTTAACGTTGCTAGATATATCTGGAGGTGTTTGGGGTTGATTCCAGGAATCTTGCTTTTAACTGAAATAAATATAGAAGAGACAGCTACCAGTCTTTGGTGAACAGTGCATTTCTGTAAGATGAGATTCTTGTTACCTATACATTTAGATGGACATGCTTGAAAGTGTGGGTTTTTTCCAGGCTATCTTTTTACCTGGTCGGTGAAGACCTGAGGATAATAACCTGTCATGTTTAGAAATAGCCCAGCAGTGTTTGGGGAGAGAATAATAATTTTTAAAAATTAAATATAAAATGACGTTATAAATTACATGAATACACTTGCTAAAATACTTTGGTTGACCATATAGTTAAAAAAAATAATACATGATAGCCTTGCATTTGTGTGTGCTATAGCTTCTGTGCTTTGTCTGTGCTTGCAGGGAGAAAAGCTCTTGATGTGCTTAAGGCCTTCATTTTTAGCCCCCTGAACAAAGATTCTAGGGGTGTTTGCAGGTAATGGTGCTGTTGAGATCCCATATCTTTCACTGACAGCTTCCTTGTAAATAGCCTGAATGCAGATTGCTTACAAATCTCATCTCCCCTTGCAGGAAAAGATCTAAAAACATCTCTAGAAATGACCCTGGGCCATGTGTTCAGCCTAGTACCAACCACTTGCCATCAGAAGTAGGAGCAATTGTGCCTGCCACGTTGTATTTCAGGGAGAGAATGCATAACAAAGCGTGCTTGCAATTGGAAAATGCGCCCCTTTTGAGCTGTCCTTGATGGCCCTCTAAAACAAAATTCACAGCGATGCATTTGGCTTTGAGTATGTCTTTAAAGCTACTTCTGCCCAGCAATGTGGATATTTCCAAGAATGTCTTCATTTAAATAGGAAGAGCCTCACCAAAGGCTGGATTGTAGACCATCCTTTTCTAGGATGAAGCGCCGATGAGGGGCTTATCGGCCTCTTTATCACCCAAGACTCCTTCTTTCTGGAAGATCCTGTGAACCTGGCCAACCCAATTATTTTAATATAAGATTTGGAAATGGAACTGGAAAACTTCATGTCAGCTTGGCATCCTCCAGCATGTCCTGGCCAGTTCCCTCGCGTGTGGAACACAGATGAGGCAGGGTAGAGAGAAGAGCTGGGAATGTGAATGCAGCGAGAGTAATGCTCAGAGCTTGCTCAAAATGTGGGAGGGGTAAGATTAAATATCTTTCTAGTAAACCTGAGATGAGGAATCTTAGACTGCTCAAGCTAATTAGTATAGCAGAATCTACGTTGGCCTGAAATTTTGCAGGCAAATAAGATGGAACCGATCCTGTCCGCATAAAGATTAAAGTAGAAAGTATAGAAAAAACAAGAGTTCCACACAAGAACAGGAATAGTAGTAAGCAGAAAAGAAGAGGTAAGTCAGATGAGGGAGTTGTTTTGTTTCAAAGACTAAGTATTTTTTCCTGCTTTGTTTATTTCCAGCTTTCCGAGTCAAGAGAGAGATATTAGAAAGATTAGGTCAGTAGGCGTAACAGTGTGTTTAAAGGGAGCGTTTTCCAGCTGTATGTGTTACAGTTTTTCTGTGTATTCTTGTTTTGTTATTTTCCTATTTCCAGAGAAAGCTGTTCATAAGATCTGAACAATCTGTAAGACGTATGGAGCACAAAGCTGAGGCAAATTATACAATATGTGGAAAATGTGTATGGAAAATCTCTATGGAAAAATTTGGCAAATGCTATCCCTCAAAGACCACTGTACACAGAAACATATAAAAGCTATGCAGAAAATCTTAGCAAATACATAAGAATTCAGTTATTTTGATTTTAGAATGAAAAGTCTGGAATTAACTCACAAGAAGATTTGGCTATTACCATGCAGAGCACTGCAGTGTTTTGCAGTCTGGCACTCAGCTCTAGGAATGGCACTTCGCATGCAGAATTGGGCACCTCGGTCTCAGGTGCCTGAGTAACTTGTTTAGTTTCTGAATTGCAGGAGAATTACGGTAGTCGTACTGATGAGCATCACAGACTGCTCATTTAGCATCTGCTGAACTATGTGGTGATTCCCCTTTTCTTGGTATGCTTTGTATAAAAGCATGAACACATACACTAATGTCAGAGATTGTAAAATTGGATCGTGAAATGAGCACAGATTTATTTTGAATGGAAAGAATTGGACTTTCCATATTCCTGGACTGTATAGCTGGAAAAGATTTATTAAAGACTCTAGAGCATATGGTGCATACTGC